CTATATTTTTGCAACTTTTTTGTGAGACTTGAATTTTACTCTGCTTCACTTAATTCTGCACAATTCCTGCCTTTCATTCTTGCTAATCCCGACATTCCCTCTCTGCTCCTGGGCGTTAAGCATGTCGTCGAAATGCAATAATTCAATTTAGCCTTGATATTCCCAGCTATGTAAAACGCGAAAATAGTGAGAAGTATGTGAATGTTCAAAAGTGCACTGCAAGAAAATGGCAAAAAGTCCGTTTAATGGGCATTTGGAGAAGAGAATGAAAAAGTGATTTTATGGCCTGAAGACAATCAATTATGGCTCAGTCCATTTTACAAAGTATTCGCCATGACTACAGCTAAGGTGTATAAAATGACTCCACCCTATCGGCAACACACACCTGAATCTTTAAACTTTAAGAAGGAATAACAATGTGGTGCGCTTTACCAAGCATCCAAAGGTCTACTCAAATGCCTCGCCAAATACATTCGACTGATTCGCTTGCCGCAAAGAAGCACTATAGGAAATGTAAGTTAACAGGATTTTAGTACCGAATATGAAGAATTTACATGTGAGAACTAACGAAGTAGCAATTTGCATGTGGACGACAAGATCCACTGCAATTCGAAGAGAAGGAAGGAAGAAAACAGAAGGTATTTGCATCCCACAAATCCATTATCCGAAGATGTCCAGAAAATGCAAAAATCGAGAAATTCCTTAATTTTTCCATAACATTATCACATCTGTTTTAACCAGTCACACAAGTGCATATATGAAGACGCATAGGGGCACAAACACGCACACACGCATGCATTGCAAAACACACACACATATGTATAAATACACACATACGCGTGAACACAATCCTGCAGTGAAAACGTAGTCCACATCCAAAGACCAGTGCAGACTACTACAGAAAACTGCCAGAACAACACTGGTAAAAGATATTTTATAAATGAAACTCACCGGCCAGACTCACCAAACCATAGGATTTTGGTTCACTTCGAAAAAACCTGTTAGCGAAATCGGGTGAATCAAGCGTTAGATAGACAACATTGCCTAAGAAAAAGCCAGCTGTCTGGCCAACCGCATTGCACGTGGACGCATACCCAACATTCTTCCTGAAACAGTTCACATCTTATTAAACCAATTATACTCGAAAACTGAAAAAAAAGTCAAAAACTCCCTGATCCACTTTTTATAAAAGATGAAGTCACTCGTAAGCAGTACGAGTAGCAGTAATGCCAAAAGCAATCACTCACTGGTAAGGTTGTCGATCTTTCAAGGACTGCTTAGAAGCTGAAGACGATCCTGACTCTGTAATATGCACCGGTACCAAACCTACCGTCTGAACAAAAGAGGAACTGGCTGCCACACAGACGGAGTTAAACTCCTTCCCATCCCCTTTTGACTAGCAAATGTAAAACTACCAAACAAGGTAGACTACAAGCGCATCCAAGAAAAAGCGAAGTGGAAGGTACACAACAAGAAAGGGCAAAAATAATACTTTGGCAAAATTTTATAAAACGACTGTGCTATTTAACGAGACAGATGCATAATTTAGCTTAAGTGACACCACTAGTGAATGCTGTTATTTACACGATGAACTCCACCTGTCCCTTCGTTATGAAGCACGTAAAACTTTGCGACTGCTGCGTTAAAAACGAACGAAATTTGGTACAGTTAAAGTTAACGCCAAACATTACAATGCGGATGAAAACAGAACGAGCAGCACTTCGAACGAAGCAGATACCTAGTTACTCTAGTGCCACATAAAACAAAAACTCATCGCATAATAATCAAAAATACATCCACCATAATAGGAAAGCAAACAGAGTCAAGAAAGGAAATGACATGAAAGAATAAGGTTTACCTACGACCCATGCAAGACAGCTTCAGCTAACTTTTCTACGTCTGCTGAGCGATGGAGATCGCTACTCTAACTGGCAGGGAACGTAAATTCAACAAAATTTTCAGCTCAGTATTCTTAAACTGCAAATCACAGGACTTCTGCTTTGGAATTATAACAGTAATAATTACCTGGAAAGCATAGTAAGCGCCCAGCCATCCACGGCGATATCCTGAGTTGCAGCAAGGAAATTCAATGGCAGAAACAAAAACATCAACAAAAGCACATTTGGAGGTTTTGAATCTGAAACAGATATGATATCAAATGGGGGGAACGACACAAGAAAGACGAAAAAGATGAGTGGGACAGCAGAAACTAATCCACGAGAAGTCGGCAATGCTTGTGTGTGGGTGTGTGTGTGTGTCGATGTGTCTGCATAAATACTGTTTTATACCGAAGCTATTTAGCAGAGGCGAGGAAAACCGAAGTAGAAATGAGGTAGTAGGGAAAACATGTTACT